TTCTTTGCTTCAGCAAACACAAGGTTGTTAGTACAGGTTTACTTTGTACAAACAGCACGATACAGAACGCATCGGTGGCTAACGTTTTGGAAGTCTTGCCTTCCTCAGAGCCTGAAAGAGTCTTGACCTACATAAACTTGCTCAAACACTTCCATATTCAAAGCAGAAAGGAAAGAAAAGAAAAAAGTCAGAAAAACATTCAAACAATTTCAGGTCGTAGTGTAATCAGCTAGATTTGACTCACTGTTTTGTTGATGTGGTATCCGCTGAATATGCAAACAAGCCGCAATGAGACTTACATGGGCGAGGTGTGTGCCTGACTCAGATCCGTACCGATCGATCAAAGATATGGTACGAAATCATGCGTGATCACGAGGTACTCATCTTCACTATTCGTATCGCCATTCTTGAAATGGATACAAAACGCCTCAAGGACTTTGCACGCCGAAGTCTTACGTTCTTGCGCAAAGATATTTACTTTTACATCAAAATCATCCCCTCATGTGTCTGTGTCCTGTGCGCACCTAGTGGGGTATTTAGTTTATACGTTTATCGCCTATATGTACTTCTATACGGATATAGAGTGACCTACCCGTTTCGCCAATGTACTTGCCGCGCACGCCTTGCAGGAGATTGAATATATTGTACCATTACTCATGCAGTCACCGTCTTTACCATTGGGACAATTTATGCACTTTTTGTTGTACATAGAGCATCGTACAAGCGATGGATCAGCTGACGCTCAAGATTATTTGAAGGTATTTCAATCATCGCAACTGATTCATCTAAGGCTGTTTAATCTCTATTTAAACGCATTTTATTCTGGGAACATACGATTACACTAAATATGTACACTTATTCTGAGTGGTTGAAGTAGTTCCCTTTGACTCAAGACAATTTCCAAATCAACCCTCTTTAAATGACTTCGATGTGATTACATGCAAATAGTTGTGACAAGCCAAACAGTAAACGAAAAAATTTCTCGTCTGCTCAGCTGCTTTTGAGGGATATACTCCCGCACTACCAATGTGTTGAATACTATTCTGCATGATTTGATTCCCTTTTTTCCACCTGTAGCACTTTCTAACAAATTTTACAACTCTCCATATTTCGCGCATGGAGGAAAAGTCGGTCAATTTTGTGTCACGGAACAGTCTTCGTGAAGAGGCTGAGGAACACTAGCCAGCATTCAATATCTCTCACTAATTCATGTTTGATACCAAAGTTTCGTAGGAAATTCATGGCATACCAAATTTTGCTGACAGTTAGGTGTACAATTCTTCTATTCATTTTCCATATCATTCCATTCAATTCTGCTTAGAGAGCCACAATGGTTTAGGAAGACTAACAAGCATTCGGTAGCCCTCGATTGTTCATTGTCTCGGATAGCAAGTCTGCGCACATTCAGGTGTACACATCTGCTTTTTTGAGCTACGTGCGAAAAGTGACAATGGCTTTGAGAGGACTAATATGCATTTGATATCGCTCGCTTGTTCATCGCTTCGGCATAGCAAAGTTCACACATATTTAGGTTTACACATCTGTTCTTCCCCAGCGCGCTATATTCTAATTCGTCCGGGCGGTGCAAATAGTCGTGCATTAAAAACGATGGATGCCGTCCCGCAAGGTTTAAACTAACGGCGATACATTTTTTCTCCGAACTTTGCTTTTTTCTGACTACGTAACGGAATTGTTTAAAGCAGCTGCTTTAACATCGGCTGGGATCACTGAGCAACTGTCGCCTGCTGGTGGTCGACAAATCAGGCATTGTCTCTAATATTGATTAAGCTTGTGCCATAATGCTGACTACACAAAGTACATCGAATAACGTTTCGGGACGTTTCGTCTTCTTCAGAACCACGACTGACGAGCGAACGACTATAAGCAATCGCCTAGAATTATCGGCTCTGAAAAGATGAATTGCTTCGAAGCGCAAGTCGAACAGATCTTTTACTACCAACCTAGTGTTAAAAGCGTAATCAACAAAATGATTAGATGCCTTTGCAATGATGGCGTTTTGCAGATCATCATGCACTACTGACACACGCATTTTCATATTCGATCAAATCATCCATGGACTGTCATTGAAAGTCAGAAAAAAGTTAAAGATATTATTTGTTTGCATACTCAGTAATGAGGGACAACTTGAGTACACAAATGACCAGGGGTATGGATTGCTTTTCCTGGCAGAGTGAAATGCTTATTATCGTTCCAATAGAAGCGGAATTACAAAACACAGAAGGAAATCACACTCACAATGAAACCTGATCATTAGTAAACACATTTCTTTTCCTATGGACATTGTTATGTCCCCACAAAAGAGTTTTATGGAAATTCTGATAGATAAAAATTGCATAGTACCCCCACACTCAAAATAAAGTATAAAAAATGATCGTTCAAATCAAGTGTCCGAGCTAGATTTTCGAATAGCTTCAAAAATACTATTGACACTGTTACAACGGCGAAGAAACGAAAGGACGTCTCCACAGACCTACGGTGAAATCTGTATAGGAAACAAGTACCGACGCTAATCAAGTCACAATTCTGATTCGCAGACATCACAGCGTTCAAAGAGATTACAGGCCTCAGATCGCTGTCAAAATCTTTAGGTTGGAAGATATACGAGGACCAGTTATTTTTGTGCATTCATATGTGCGTAAAGATCAATCCGAGTTTATCATTTGATCTCCAAATGCACGATTTCGAATGAATTTATTTGCAAAAAATCTGATCATGATGAACAAAAACCAGGGCAGGCCTGTTGCTTGAGGTCCTCGGTGAACAAAGAAGAATCGCAATGCTCCAGTTTCACTAGTGTTTGGCACCTAAACAGTTTTCATTGTGTAAGAATCTTAGTGAACGTTTAGAAACACGTACAGTTCATGTTCATAGCAAGTTGGTTGAGGTGTTTCCTCCGTTGTTGGCTCGGATGTTATCGGAGCTAAAGAAGCTAAAGTATCTTGAAATCTATTGGGTGCATTCAGAAACACATATCTCCAGGTAGAAGCATTACCGAAGCGATAGCGTAGGATGGATGTAACTTCGTAGAGTCTGCTGTAAATTATTACAGGGACCATGCTGTGTGTAGAAATCAGAGTTGTTCCACCGAGTTTCGGAAAGCAAAACCTAAGCGCACATAATGAGGCCTATAAACCTCAGTCTTTGTCGGTATGTCCTCACCTGCAACCAGTGCGACGTTGATCTGCTAATGCTTTAATCTCAACACCTGCCCATATGCATCCATAATAAGCCAAATTCCCCATAATGTTTTGTAAGATCACTTCAATCGTTGAACCTGGTTATCCCTTGAACATATAGTCGTCCATCTTTATTGGACTATATCAGTGGAATATAGACAAACCTCAATCCAGTAATGGCAAAAGTCAAAGTTGTCCTTTTCATCATTTCTGTCATAATCTTTCCGTCCCACGAGGTCCCACAATTCTTGGCATTCGCTTGTTGCTGTTATTATCTTGCCACATCCAGATGGCTAAAAGGGAAGCACATTTATCTATACTTCACTCGAGCGAAGGTTGAATAAAAATTTCAATCATCTCACCCTCTCATTGCAGAGTTTTCCACCATATCCACTGGGGCAAATGCGTTTCGAACAGTCTCTTGGATGAGGGAACCCGCCGTTTTCGCACTTTGCCGATGATCCTTCAGTGCACTTATCTGGAAGAGTATGGCTCCAATAGAAGTCTTAATTATCACAATGATCGGAATGTCTTTATTATTCTCTTACCAAGGCATTTGTAGTGCAGGTTAACCATGAGTTTCTCGTAAAACGAAAGAATGTGTGACCCAAAAGTTTGCATATATCTGGTATCGCATGGCGCCATGTAAGGTCTACCGTTCTTTGAGAAACTATAATCAAAATTTTCATCACGTTTTCGCTGTCATGCACATAGACATTGCAAATTTCGCAAACGCGGTTGCTCCATAATCCATAACACTTCCGAAATCGTAGGTGATCTTGTAGTTGTAGATCATGCGTGGTAATTCCATATCAAACCGATTATCTCCTTTTCCAAAATACCATCCAGGATTCAAATCGTCCTGAATTCATATCCATCCAGCTAAAAGTGCACACCACTGACTCACTAGTGACTGACAAAAAGGTTCTCATAATGACGTCCGTATTCTAGACTACCATTGACAAGCATATTTCGTAGATCACTATTATTTGCTTACTTGATACAGTAGCCAATCCTACATACTGCGCAGATGTTGACCTTTAGTTGTTTCGGGAAGAACAAATGTGTACACCTGAATATGTTTGAACTTTGATATGCAGAAACGATGACAAATGAGCGATATCAAATACTTACTAGTCTTCCCAAAACCATTGTCGCTTCTAGCACAGTGTTCGGAGAGGCAGGTGTGTACACCTAGATCTGTGCAAACTTTCCTATCCGAAACAACGAATCAACGAGATCAAATGCTGGCTATTCTTCCCAAGCCCGATGTGGTTTTTCACATGGAGTTGTTCAGTGATACAAAGTAGTCCGACTCGTTCTTCCTAACGTGAAATATAGAGAATTGCAGACTTTGCCAGAAAGTGCTATAGGTGGGAATAAGGGAATCAGATCATGCAGAATAGTAGTGATTACAGTGGTGAATTTGAGAGAGTATATCTTTCAGAAGCAGTTAGGTAGACCAGAGTTTTTTTCGCTTATTGCTCCGACGATCACAACCACCTTCATGTGATCACGTCGAAATCATTTGAAGAAGTAGGATTTGAACGGCGCACAAGTAATTATCTTGGACCAAAGGGAACTATTTAAAGTACTAAGAGTGCCGCCAGACTAAAATATGTTTGATAAAGATTAAATAGTTAACAAAAAAGTTTGTCCTTGCAGAACGATGGAACAGAGTTTTCTTCAATCTAAGAAAGATGCCAACTTCTGAAATTTTTATCAAAAAGTTACTCACTGGTTGTCAAAAAATTAGCTTAGAAATGTGTCAAGTGGTGAAGATTAGAAGTGGTGTCAAAGCGGGCGTCGGTAGTGCAACGGTTCAGCACGCGCTCCCGGATAGGGTAAAATCTGGGTTCGGATCCCAGCTGACGCAAATGTCTTTGCGCATCACTCTTTATCAATGGGTATATCGAAAAAATTATTGAAAGCTGTCGATGAAGTGGCATCGTTTGCAAAGTACAGCACCATTTTTGACCAGCTGTTCTTATGCTTTGCAATTTCCAGTCATTATGCTGACATTTAATTTTTATGAAATGAGAGGATGTGGTAATTAGAATTCAAGTGGCAATATTGAATTCAAAGAGTATAAACTCATTGCGCAGCTGATCATTTGATTATTTCTCTACTCGCGAGACTAGACAGCAATGAATTATTGCTGACATACGAATCAAAATGGATAACATGATTGAAGTCAAAGTAAATTCCTGATTTTCTTTCTCTAAGCCAAACACGAGGTGTTACAATAAACTTTATTTGACAGCTGACGTTTCGGCAGTTCGATTTCTTCAGAACCTGGAAAGGTCAAATTCTCTGCAATCCAATCAGTCAAACACCTCCATTACTCCTCTAGAACAGATCACTAGACCTAGACTTCAATCGCATCGAGCACAGAATCAACTCTCAACATACTCACCGCTTTTTATATGTGTTCCACTGAATGATTCTAGTGGAGACCACCGGAAGGAGATCACGTAGGCTCGTAATGTACTTTATCCATCAAAACAACAGTCTTATATACTGACTGATACGAGGACTGAGTGCTTCGAGAGGATTAGCTAAAGACGACGGGCTCTGCTCGCCTGACGAAACTGTAAGGTCGAAACACGTATATAGAGCTGTGCAAGAGCCCGTTAACAAGGTATATGATCGACATATGATTGACGCGAATCTGCTCACCGTCTATGGCCTTACCTATTAACTTATATTAGTAGGGATTTTCCTGACATGCAACTGATACAGTTATCATAATTGTCTAACTCGAAGAATACTGACAAGCATTTGATCATCTTGATGCGTGAGAGGAAGGAAATGCACGAAATTCTCGTTAGCCAGCTTTCCTGACTTTCAAGTCGAAGTCACTGCAGAGTTTTATTGTAATCTTGTGCACAGCAACATGATATCTCCTTTCAATGTAACGAGTATCTCCAAGACATGAACTGTTTGCAGTGAATAATTATATGAAATAATTTCACTTTGTACTGGACATAATTATATTCAGTAGAATATTTCGACATCTCCCTAAATACAGAAAAGTGGAATCACTGCGAGATAATAAAGGCACTTCACCTCATAACATTTCATTGTAGGGATTTATCCATAAGCTGATCAGACAATATCATGTTTGTTGGTGAACGCACCGCTAAATTAATTCACCACCGTCCCCAGTTGTCTTGTCACGGAAAGGTTGCGGATGTGTTTGGCTCTGAAGCACTGTGTTTATCTAGTAGACGAAAAATTCGCATTGAATCACCTCGCTAAGTTATGAATGAAATATCGTGATGTTTTGAGGCTCAAGATTCCAAAAATGGAAAAAAAACGCGAGGACAAGATGAAAAGAACCAAATAGGTGGGCTGTTGAGGCCATCGGCAAAGTGCTGAGGTGACTTATTCAACTATTTACGCGTTCGATACGACAACGTAGGCTTAGACATCTCACGAAGTTTCATGTATTCCCTTCTTCACGCGTTTACTTGGAACTCCGAGTAGAATAACAGATAGTAGGGATAACAAGAACAGCCTACAATAGTAGAGTGATAGAAAGATTGATCAGTGCTGCCAGCTCACTCAAGTAATAGGTAACAGCTAGGGACCTTGAAATAGCTATTGATTCAGATGAGCTTTTATTGCGTTAAGCCGAGAACTCACCTAGCCATAACATTTCGATTGGTTGTGTGGGGCATACAGTCTTACATGTAATAAAATACAAAAAACAGGGAGTGTATAAAATCAAGAGCTCCGGTGACGATAGGTGTACTACCATCAGGGTGAAAGAAGCCCATTAGTGTTCACACACAATAACCCGCACACACATAGCACTTCATTTGGACATTAAAGAATCGATTCCTGACGAAATCTGATTAGTCACTCCCGTCATGAGTCTAGAAAGCATGCAACTAAGCGTAAATGGTTTATCTCATATATCCAAAGTAATATAATATAAATATATACCTTGCACAGTTTTGAAGTCTAATGTAATACAAATATAATAATGCTTTTCTTCAGTGCCAGTTGGATATGAAATCATTATTTTGGCTATGCAAACATTAGCAAAATGATCTGAATGAAAGCTATGCAAATATGAGCAGCAAAATCTGCATAAAAGATGATGGATGTGATAAGGGCATTCATTTTCAAGTTCAGCTTTTGCCCAGCTATAGCGTTTTCTATTTGAACATAGTTGATTTTCAGAATGATAATTTTACTACTTGTATGCGTTCCGAGATTCGTGATAGCTGAAGCAAGTTTCGAAGAAAAACTGAAAGAAGCAAATCAGCTGCTGAGAGATGTAAGTAGAGCTATCGAGGATGTCGCAAATTCTGAGCATATGTCAAAATCAGCTATTATCTTTTTCAAGCTATACTCATCTTTTAGGAACCGAATGCAAACGACACAATGGAATTTTTGAAAAAGTTGCACGGCTTGGAGAAAGAAATCAATGATGAGCTCATTTCATCTACAAAGCCGAGTGCTCATATGCTGGAAGAAATGAAAGTGAGCACATATTTCTTCTAATTGGAGTCAACGGAACTATTAGTCAGAGTTCAGAATTACGCCTCCATCAAAGAGGCGCACCTAAATCCGCTGGATGACACAATCGAAGAGGTCAATAGAAAAAGAAAAGTTGATACGGCGTTATTTCAAGGAGACATCATTCTAACAAAGTATGTTTATTCCTATAGTTCCGCTTCCTGTTCATTTTGATTATTTTCTATCTGCTTTGACTTCCAGAGAGCAAGCCAATGAGATTTTGGAGGACATGAACAATACAAAAGGGAATCGTAACAAACGACAGGCATACCGCGACGAAAGTTATCCCGTTTACTTGTGGTCCGACGGAGTGACTTACTCCTTTCACAACACAAGTTCGGCTATTATGCTTTTGCCGCAATATAATCACATAAATGACAGATATCATTCCTTGACAACAAAGTTTAGCTCCTTGGGCTAGAAAGGTATTCAAAACAGCGGCCGCAATGTGGTCATGGCATACGTGTGTTAACTTTGGAGAGGTCCACATGAGTGAGAAAGGTTGGTAGTTCGAAGTTAATGAATCAGCGGATTTCAATGTCAACAAGCGATTCTTTAGTTAAAAATAAAATCGCCGTTGTGAATGGCGAAGGATGTTGGTCACATGTTGGAAGAATAAATGGGACTCAGGCTCTCTCATTAGGGCACGGATGTGAATCGGTTTGATTTCGAAAAGAATAGACTTTTTTCACAATCATATTGACGGTTCTTCAAGCACTCATATAACAGCGAGTAAATTTCAAAAGCTCGAATCGTTGCATAGCGCAACGATATCAGCATGTTGTTTAGGTTGGGAAAGCTTTACACGAGATTGGTCACGCATTGGGTCTCTTCCACACACAATCAAGACACGATCGCGACAGCTTTGTCACAATCCAACTGAAAAACATTATCGTATGCTGGTATCCATCTAGTAATGCGTGTTCCCATCGAGGATATATTATTTTAGCCGGGAAAGGAAACTGAATTTGTTAGGGAGAGCGAAAAAACCAACTACAACTATAATCTGACATATGATTATGGAAGTATCATGCATTCCGCAGCAAGCAGGTTAGTTAAACATGTGAAGTATTTGTAAAATTCAACGACAGAAAGATGAAAATTCAATTACAGTCTCTCAAAGAACAATGAACCTACCATAGTGCCACATGATATCAAATTCATGCAAACCCTTGGCTCACCTTTCATTTCATTCTACGATAGACTCATGGTCAACTTGCACTATAAATGCCTTGGTGAGACTATTATTATTATGGGAAACAAAGCTGTTAGCATTCTTAAATTTTTCAATAAAACTGTGCCTTTACAGACAGATGTAATGGAAGGCCTACGGCAAAGTGTGAGAATGGTGGGTATCCTCATCCGAGAAACTGCTGGCGGTGTATTTGTCCTAGCGGCTATGGCGGAAATAATTGTGACAGAAGAGTAAACTCAGAATCTCATCTCTTGGTCTTCTTGAATGGAGAAGAATTCAGAAGTATTCCTTTTAGCCACCTGGATGCGGCAAGATACTGCAAGCAACCGAATCGTATCAAGACCTTTCGGACAATGTGGGATATTCGAATTATTACCGCAATGCTGATGTCGCCAATTTTAAAATGTGTCATCACTGGATCGAGGTCTATCAGTTTGCAAGTTACATTTCAAAGACACTGATTCGACGGTGCGTTTATTAAGGCTCCAGCAGGCTCAAAAATTGAAGTCATCTTCCAAAGTTACACAGATAATCTGAGTTCTGACGGATGCGTAAAGGCAGGTGTTGAGATAAAAACGCTGGCAGATAAACGTCTCACTGGTTATAGGTAAATACCGTGGAGCTCACGCTTCAATGCTCTTCGATTGTGTACGAATGTTCAGATTTTGCTCTCCGAATCATAGTGGGACAAGTTTGGTTTCGGTGCACAACATCGTTCCTATTATCATCTACAGCAGTGTCCAAAAAGCTACTTCCCTCTTGCGCTATCGAATAGGTATCAATCTTTCTTAAAGCATTTTAGATATTTTTGAAGAGATTTGGTGCATTTCGAAATGCTGCAGCATCTTCTGGCCCAGCAACATCTGAGCAGACACCCCAACCAACATCTCAGCTAACAACTCAATCATCGTCCACACACACACCACGTTCAATAAGCCCTCCAGAAAAAGGCTGCAAAGACCGTTTCCTGTAGGTACTTTCACTATGCATTGGCTAATACTCCTGCATTTTCAAAACTGCCGTTTAGCTGTACCATGCTAGAAGAAATGGGCTTCTGTAGCTCCGCTGAATACAAGCAAGAATTCAAGGATAAGGTTTGCCCCGGCTTGTGTGCGTAACCGTCATCTCACTGTCAATAAAATCATTCGGAT